TTTGTTTGGAATTTAGTTTTTATTTATTTTATTGGATTCAAAATATTAGCATTAGAGTTTATTAAGATATATAATGTATTGAAAAGAATTGATTGAAACATGTTACCAAAGTAGCCTCTCTTGTGTAGATCAATTTATTTTAAACATAAACATGATAGTGTGTGTACAGTTCATGCAAATATTAATCAGCCTAAAGGACGGTTAATATTTGAATAAATCATATGCATACTTGTGGTGATAAATATAGACAATTATTCGATTTTACATGTGAATAATAAATTAGTCCAAAGAAAGATTTATTGTTTGGCATGGCTTATTATCAATATTTGATCATTACACCAAGAGTACCACTTACAAATTAATATTTATGCACAAAGACTAAGTATTAATGTTGTGTTAGGTATCTTGAGATGAGTATTGTCAATTTTAAATTCATAAATTTTGATTTGGTTTCTTATGTGAACTTATTCATTTTCTTATGTTATTCTCTGATTCAGCTGCTAGTTTTGCTTCAAACATCATGACCAACATTAATTTTATTCCTATGATAAATAGCACCAACTTCAAGTCATGACAAGAGAACGTTATGATATTTCTCAGAGTCAAGGATCTCGACCTTGCGTTAATACTTCATTCTCCTACACTTCTTACGGACAAACATTCCACTAATGAGAAAAGAGACATGGAGAGGTGGGAGAAGTCAAATCGCATGTGTATGATGATCATGAAGAGGGTCATTTCAGAAATATTTAGGGACACTATGTCTGAGAAGATAACTACTCCCAAAGAGTTCCTTAAGAACATTGAGAAAAGATTTGCTAAAAATAAAAAAACTAAAACTAGTACACTTTTAACAAATTTTCCCTCAATGAGATACAAAGGGAAGGAAAACATTAGGGAGTTCATCATGGAGATGTCTCATACTGCTTCAAAGCTGAAAGCATTTAAGCTTAAACTCTTTAAGGACTTGCTTGTGCATTTGGTTCTTTTATCTCTTCCCACATAATTCAGTCAATTCAAAATGAGCTACAATTGCCAAAAGAAGACTTGGCCTTTTAATGAACTTATATCACATTGTGTGCAAGAAGAAGAAAGGTTGAAGCAAAAGAAGGCAGAAAGTGCTCATCTTGCTAGTATTTTCAAGGACAAAGGAAGAAAAGAATGAAAAATAAGGAAGTTGCAGAAGCTCAACCACAAAAAAAACAACACAAGGCAAATAATGGAAATGGTTGTTTCTTTTGTGGGGCTGCGAGACATAAGAAGAAAAATTGTACCAACTATCACGCATGACATGCAAAAAAGGTACAGTTTTTAATTTTGTTTGTTCTGAGGTTAATTTATCTTCGGTACCTAGACACACATGGTGGTTAGATTCTACTATCACAACTAACAACAGTGTGTCTATGCACGGTTGCCTGAGCTGCCAAAAGCCACGTGATGGTGAAAGATACACCTATATAGGCAATGAGAGATCTTGAGAACACCTCTTTTGTATTGGGCATACAGATACACCAGGATCGCTCTCGGGGTATACTTGAGTTATCACAAAGAACTATATCGAAAAGGTTATTAAAATATTTGGCATGCAAAATTGTAAACTAGGAGACACCCCTGTTGCTAAGGGAGAGAAACTCAGTCTCAATCAATGCCCAAAAATTATTTAGAGATTAAAGAGATGCAACAGATTCCTTATACGTTAGAAAGCCTAATGCATGCTCTAGTGTGTACACATCAGGATATTGCATACGTGGTTGGAATGTTGGGTAGATACTTAAAGTAATCCTGGAATGGATCACTAGAAAGCAGCTAAGCGAGTCTTAAGCAAAGTATTAAATATCGGTTATCATGAATTTATCGGACTATCAAAATTCTTATCGGCTAGCGAAAATCGGGGATATATCGGGGATAAGTAGTATTTATCAGAGTGATATACTAGCAAATAATAAACAAACATAAGCTTAAAAAAAATATAGTGTTAGTCAAAATAGAATATTAAACAAGCAAATAATAAGATAATATCAAGAATAAAGAACCATCTACGCATCTACATAATTATCGTTTAATCATAAGATTCATAAACTAACTTACTAAGTTGATATTTAGTAGTTATGAGCCATTATCAATATCCATAAATAAACATAAGCTAATCACCAATCAACCAAGTTCCAAAAGCAACAAATAGTTCATAATTTGTAAACATTCAAAGAGCAAATCCAAAAGAAACCAAAAGCTCCCAAATCCTACTTATCGACTGATAAAGCCGATATTTAGAGCCTTCTTATCGATCGATAAGTGCCTTTATCGCCGATAACTCGCCGATAAACCCCAAAAAACGATAACCGATTAAAAATCCTACTTATCCTAGCGAAAAGCTCCCAAATCCGATAACTAGGCGATAATATCAGAATATCGACCGATATTTAAAACCATAGTCTTAAGGTATTTGCAGAGAACAAAAGAATACATGCTCACGTATCAGAGGTCGGACCAGTTAAAGATCAGTGGGTACTCTGACTCGGATTTTACTGGATGTCAATATAGCATGAAATCTACTTTAGGCTATATCTACATGCTTGCTGGAGGAGCTATCTCTTGGAAGAATGCTAAGGAGACACTCATAGCTTTATCCACCATAGCAGCTGCGTTTGTAGCATGCTATGAGGCGTCTAATCATGGAATATGACTGTAAAATTTTGTCACTGTGCTGCGAATTGTGGATGGCATTGAAAAGCCACTTAAATTCTTTTGTGACAATAAGTCAGCAGTGTTATATTTCAACAACATGAGCTCGACGAAGTCGAAACATATAGACATCAAGTTCCTAGTTGTTAAAGAAAGAATTCAGAGTAGACTTGTGTCTATAGAGCACATTGGAATAAACTCCATGATTACGGATCCGCTAAGAGATTATCGCCCAAGGTCTTTAATGAGCACACTGCTCATATAGGTGTTTTATCTCTTCAGGATATATCATTTTAGTGGGAGTTTGTATTTTAGATGTTTCTATTTGTAGACACATTTGTTATGATTTTATAAATATTATATGGCTATTTACTACAGTATAAAATATTTAGTTCATATTCGCTCTATTTTTTGGTATAGTTTGATGTCACTAAGATTTTAAGGTGGAACGGTTAAAAATATGCATGTTAAGATCACACTACATGAAATTTCCACGCTACAAATCCATACTTGATCTATATTGTTGGTTGTATTGATATACGTAACCATTTATGGGTCTAGTTGCGACAAATGCAATAAAGATCGCATTGATCCTATGTTGATACAACTAATGGACGAGATTGTTAAAGATGCATATTATTTGATAGCAAAATTCATGAGCTCGTATGGTTCTATCATAATTCACATTTATAGAGTAAATACATGGCCCAAGTGGGAGATTGATGAATTTATATCCAATGATGGGCCAATATATTAAATAAATGTGCATTGCGTACTATCAATTAAGGTTAGCCCATTAAAATAATCTAATTTAGGGTTTGGACTTCTAATATATAATTAAAGTATGAACCTCCTATGTATAGAAACCAAAATATAATTGTTAATTCTATGATGGTCCGAATTGATAATTATGAATAAATGAATTCAGTTATAAATAGGGTTGTGGTTCCCCAAATCTCTGCGTACAATCTCTTTCTAATTTCTCATCTTCAGAAGGATTAGGGTTTCTCTAAGGAGGATATATACATATAAGATTTGGAAGATCTACATCTCAAAAACTCAAAGAGTCGCATCCTACTCCATGGATTCAGATATGGTTCCGCATCTTCTTAATTATCTCAATAGTTTGACATGAACAATCTTAGGATTGATTAGGATTTTATCTATTAAAGCAAAAGTTTTCTTTTTCATCTAACAATAACGTATTACCAATCTTCATAATTAACCAGATAACATAGTAATAGAGAAAATAAAGTAGCAATCGATTCACTTACCTTTCAATCTCACAGCCAATCCTGGTCTTGTATCTTTAGAGGCAAGTACACCTCCGTAAGATACTGAAACCCAAACGAACTAAGAGCCTGTATTTCAGCTTTTTTCCTTGTCTTTACCATCAATTCCAACTCCTTCACCCACCCCTTGTTCTTCTTCACAAAATCCTCCTCCAGAAGATCTTTTCCAGCCTTCACATCCTGATCAGTCATTGGAAGCCGACACTGCTCAGGTATCTGATACTTGTCCAAGTCACTTGGTCGAACTCCCAACCACTTGATATCAGGAGTTGTGAGATTCGAGCTATCATAAGACATGTTCTTCGAACCACACATATAAACAGATAAAATCTTAAGGCCATAAGGATCACTGTCGACTAAGGCAAGAACTGGGAGTTTCAACTCTGTCTTCATCCTCCTGAGGAAAAGCCTTGTGGCTACATCAGGCTGGCCTTTTGCAGTGACAATTATACAGGGGAACCGGTTGTAGAATCTGTCCTCTGCAAGTCGCATAAAAGCAGCGTCCTTTTCTACTAGGAGAATGAAGAGGGCATCACTCTCAAGATTTCCAACACGATCGATATTGGGAGGAATGGCCTTGCCTCCTATACCCATCTTGGTACAGTCAATTTGGTCTCCGTCATCAGTGAATATGAGTCGACCAACTACAACTCCCTTCTCAGATGCAACAACATGGAGAGAGGATCTCGTGCAGCCAAGCATGCAAGAAACATCATCAAGTACAGCATCAGATTGAGACTGGTCCTGTAAGGCGTAAGCACAATAGCAAGTTTAAGGTTTGGAAATAAAAAAAGTTAAAAGGTATATGCAGTTAATCCACCAATGATATACAAGAGCTGGGAAGAAATTCAGATAATAAACATGCATATAAGAGGAAAGTTGCTAAAATGATAGAGCAAATTTAAACAAACTATTCATTAGCAAAACAAATACAAAAATTAAACACCAAGAGATCCACTTTTCCATGAAATGAATGTAATGTATTGTTCAGATTGTGTCTCTGTCCAATGAATGAAACTATCCATGAAATCCTTGAGGCATTCCCCTCCATATAGGCTGTTTTCAAAAGTAATCTTTTGTTGCGCGGGCTTAAACTATATGAGCTAGGTTTTCAGTTGAAAACGATCAGCATTACATGTTTGTGAGAAGTCCTCATTGTCTAAGGGGTTGTTTGGTTCATTTTCTATAAAAAAAAGGAAAAAGAAAAGTACTCAAAATTTGATTTCCTTGTATTTCTATAAAATTTGTAGGAAACAATTATAGAACTCAAAAGAGTACCATATTTCTTGTTTTTTGCTATTTCTTTGTTTGGTTCAAAGTATGAAAATTATAGAACTCAAAAGAGTACCATATTTCTTGTTTTTTGCTATTTCTTTGTTTGGTTCAAAGTATGAAAAAGTTTCTAACTTTATACTTGTTTTTTGCTATTTCTTTGTTTGGTTCAAAGTATGAAAAAGTTTCTAACTTTATAGAAAATATGTTGTTTTCTTTTTCTTTAGTTTGGTTGGATGTCACTTTATAAAAAATAGCTTACTAACAATGCCCATGGGAAATCACATGGGAAGGGTACTGATGTACTTAATTATTTTTTAATATATATGCGTCAGATTTTTGGATGATTTCCACCCATTTTGAAAAGAAATTGATTTCTATAAAATGGGATATTTTTCTGAACTTTATAGAAAACTTTTCTGTAAATTTTTTTGAACCAAACACAGTTTATAGAAATCTCCAGAAAAGTTTTATTTACAAAACTGCAACTATCAGTCATTTTCTATAAAGTTTCCTATAAAAACCACTCAACCAATTCAGTATCAAAATGACTTCTACATGAGGTAGACATACATGGCAATAAAATTCAGGCAACACTAAAAATTTTCCGAGGGATTGCCTCAAATAGCAGATCATCTCCTGAAAAAAGTAATTGAAACTTTAAATCACATCTCCAAACTTTGCACCAAGACTTTATCCAAAATTTCAAGCTCCACCATCATCGTCATGATCTAATCCTTTCTCGATCAAAATGGGAATGTCAGTGGAGCTCTCTTACCAAAAAACCATTATAAAATCGATAACAATTTTCTTTAAACTAATTCTTCGAATTCGGGATCGAATTAAGAAAAAAAATCACAAACCTGGAAGAGCTTGACATCAGTATAAAACAAATCCCTCTTGGTAACATGAATGTTCCTCTCGAGAACCCCATAAACCAGCGACGTAATCGTCGCTTTCCTAACCGTGCTCAAATTCGCAAACTGCCTCGCCGACGACTTATCCTTGAGCACGATCCGGTCGAGCTCCGGGACGTACATCTGATTCGACGCGGACCTCGACGGCACGTCAAACGAGAACCCGCGGCCGCCCAAGATGGAGTGGGCGATGTCGAGGACGACGCGCTCGATGGAGAGGGAGACGGAGGAGGCGTCGAGATCGGAGACCACCCGGCATTTGGAGGTGAGGTTGAGGTCGGTTAGGGTTAGGGTTTTGGCCTTGGCGGGCTTTTGGTGCTCGGAGTAGAGTTTTTGGAGGGAGGCGAGGATCTCGGAGTCGGGTTTGAGTTGGGATCGGAGGGAGTGAGCGTGGGAGGAGGTCTTGGTGGTGGTTGGGAGCTTGGATTTCTTGGAGGCGGAGAAGGAGGCGGCGGTAGCCGCGGCGCGATTGGCGGGATTTGGTTGTCGTCGCTTTTTCTCCGACATTTTTTTAGGGTTTTGGACGAATGAAGTATTCAGTATTTGGGTTCCGGGTTAGTTGGGTATATATCCGCTGGGGACAAATTTTCAAAACCAACCCTCTTTAGCATTTTATTTGCAAAAAACGACCTATTTGAAAATAATTACAAAAACCGACCTGTTTTCAGCCCAGCGCTGAAAACAGCGTCGGTTTTGTAAAAAAGTCTCCGAAACATCACGGGAGTTCAACTCCCGTGAAGTTTATCGAGAAATTAAACTTCACGGAGTTGAACTCCCGTGAAGCTTAATTTTGCTTAAACTCCACGGCGGAGTTCAACTCCGTGGAGTTACATTCGAAAATTTCCAGCGAACGAGTCTCTGGCAAATTGTGACTGCAACTTCACGGGAGTGAAATCGCCGTGAAGTTGCCAGTCCACAATTTGCCAGAGTCGCAGTCTCTGGAAATTTGGCACTGCAACTTCACGGGATTTCAACTCCCGTGAAGTTGCAGGTCACCCAGCATGCACAGCTTCTGTGCAGGTTTTGTATATTTACCTGTAAATCATATATATGTCAATTTATTTGCAAACAACAATATATACATGATTCCACAATGAATTATAACTCATATATTATGTATATGAACAACAATTTATCTTCAAAAGTTCAGTATTTGAAAATTCAGGAAAGTTACAAAATTTATCAAAATAAGTTCATATACAACCCAATATAGCTCCCCTCCTTCCTCTCCCTCTCTTCCCCCTCCCCCTCGCTCTTCCCCGCCCCCTGGGTTCCTGCTGATGAGCCTCAACTATCTGAGTATCAGGCTGTGTATGAAGCTGCGAAGTGCCGGCTCCATCGGCATGCGAAGTGCCGGCGTCATCGGCATGCGAAGTGCCGGCGTCATCGGCATGCGAAGTGCCGGCGTCATCGGCATGCGAAGTGCCGGCGTCATCGGCATGCGAAGTGCCGGCGTCATCGGCATGCGAAGTGCCGGCGTCATCGGCATGCGAAGTGCCGGCGTCATCGGCATGCGAAGTGCCGGCGTCATCGGCATGCGAAGTGCCGGCGTCATCGGCATGCGAAGTGCCGGCGTCATCGGCATGCGAAGTGCCGGCGTCATCGGCATGCGAAGTGCCGGCGTCATCGGCATGCGAAGTGCCGGCGTCATCGGCATGCGAAGTGCCGGCGTCATCGGCATGCGAAGTGCCGGCGTCATCGGCATGCGAAGTGCCGGCGTCATCGGCATGCGAAGTGCCGGCGTCATCGGCATGCGAAGTGCCGGCTCCATCGGCATGCGAAGTGCCGGCTCCATCGGCATGCGAAGTGCCGGCGTCATCATCACGT